CCAGAAGTGGAAGAGGACGGGGTGATGAAAGACGAGATCGGCTCATTTTTCAAATCAGATAGAGCATACAAAGAAGGAAATTGATCCTTTAAAGGGGCGCTCCACACCCAGGTTTGTTCCCAAAATTTTATGGAATTACCGGAATTCAAGTCATACCTGATATTAGGGGAGAAAACTAGTAATAGGTCATGAATGGCTTTCCAAGGAGTGTTCCTTGTGGTCCTAGCTTTGATTCCAGCATCCCATCCATTGTCCTCCAGCCCATGTATACTTGCCACTATTTTAGCCCATAACTTCTCCTTCTCCATAGGGAACCTCCACAACCACTTCCCCAACAGAGTCATACCTAAATCCTCATTGGCTTATCTCGTTTCCTACCTTCCAGTCAACTACAACCCACGAATCTCCTTCAACTCCTGATCTTCTAAAACCATGAGCTCTTGCTAATCTAAGTCAATGTAGTAGATAAGTAGACCAGTTACCTTTGTCTACTATCCATTTTTTTTCAAAGTATATTCATTAATCAAACAGCAAAAGAATACACCTATGTACAAAAAGATTCTGCACAATGGAGTATATAAGTATAATGTCAGGTTTATATATACTGATCTCTAAACATGCTTTCAAAAACCCAAAAAAACAAAAAAAAAAAAAAAGTTGTATGTCATTCCAAACATCTTTTAGGATTTTTGGCTCTGGTAACCCTTGAACTTTGCAAAAAAAGACACTTTTGACCCTAAAGATTCAAAAGGGTCATTTTTGCCCTTAAACTATCGTAAAAAGGCCACATTAACCCCAAAAGTAATGTGTTAGAGACGCCATTGATGGTTCTATTAGACAAGTAATAAAATAGTAAGCTGTGTTGATGTGGTATTTCTATTTGTTCACACATGACTAAAAAAAAAAAAAAAAGATAATTATTCTTGTTTTATAATTAACAAATAAAAATATTAATTACAAGCGGGTGTCCCACTTAAAATTCAAGTGAGCTTAGCAAAATCAACAGAAAGTTTACCATGTAAGGAGACTGACGAACCTTTCGTGGAGTCTTGGCCGAACCAGGAATAACACTAGGAAGTGCATTGTTGAAGCCAAACAATGCAGTGTGGTTTGTCATGTTTCCATCTTATATCTGAAAATATTCCTACTTGGAGGACTCAATGACAAATGCCTACCATCGAATCCTGCTTGCTTCTCAAGAGTGACAAGCAAAACAATGACAGAATCTGGCCTAGGGAGTACCATCCTCAACAAAGTAGTGCAAGTACCAGAGCCATCTTCCCAACCTTCCATGCATGAGTTGGGTGAAGGCAAAAGATAGAAGATAACAAAATTGGAACCAGATCTGCTAGGGATGAACCAGTTACCAGTCGCTATATATGGTTCTAGAAGGTGAAGGACGGTACCCTACAACCATACAATCTATGTGGCGAGAAGAAGGCAAAATTTCTAAAGGCAGAGTGCTTTGAGACATGCTGGAAGGCAAAGTGCTTTCACTTAACCAATCTTTAGGCTTCCTGGAACAAGCAGAATCACTTAACCAAGTGCTGAAATCTAAAACTCCTTAATCTTAGCCATTTCAAATACCTAACCCAGACACCCAACTTCTTAGTATGCCCTAATCTAGAGATACTGAACCTAGAAAATTGCAAAAACAGATCCACCATTCTATTGGAAATCTTAAGAAAACTAGCTTTATTAAACCTGAAAAATTACAGAAACCTTAGGAAACTTCCAAGCAGCATTTTTTTTATTTCCTTTGAAGGGCTACGGGGTAGCCCATCCCCCAACCCAAGTGCAGGCAACCAGCAGAAGACCTTGCCAACCTGCTGATTGGCACCTTGCACTTCCAAGCAGCATTTGTCAACTAACATCTCTTAAATAGATTCTATTTGGTTGCCCAAAACCAGTTAGTTTGCCATTTAAATCTCAGATTTCTTCATTCCAGTCTTGGGCTTTATTAGATAGAAAAGATCATCCTTATTCTATTACTCAACTACCCATTTATTTCTCCTATCTATCTTCCTTCGACAGATTAGGTCTCAATCAGTGTAACTTATTAGAAAGTGCAATTCCCAGTGATCTGGGGAATTTATCATCGCTTAAAGCATTGCATCTAAGCTATAACAACTTCAGCAACCTACCAGCCAGTATGAATCGACTATATCAACTGAAGGAGATTTTCTTGGAGAACTGTCCGACTCGGAGGCTTTAATCAATCCCAAAGCTCCCACCAAGTCTGCACTTACTCAATGCAAATGGGCGTATGCTGCTGGAAACAATATCAAACCTCGGAAGGTTAATTTCATTAACTACTCTCTACACCAGTGCAAATCAGTATCTATAGCCTACCTTCCACTACCCAGCTTTCTCATCTGCACCACCTCGAGATAAAGGAATGTCCAAAGCTTCAAATGCTTTTGAGACTGCCATTGTATCTATTGAGGTTGAACTTAGAAGGTTGCACCTCAATAGAAAGATTAAGTGATGATGGTGTTTGAAGCTTGGTTCAAGCATCCAAGCAGGTATTGATGGTGTTGAGGATGGCGCTGGCCATGGGGACGACAAAGTGCAGATCGACATGGTTGGGACATTCGGAGCCATGACAAAGACCACATCGCCTCTCTTGATGGTTGATGCCGAGTGAAGTGAGGGCTGAAGTTGTTTGCAAGCAGCGATGATGGGTTTGAAACTAGGTGTAGCAGATGTAGACAACGGAGATGCAATTGTTATGGGAATTTGAAGTGGGACCCACTCATAATTAAAATTTTAATTAATTATTTAATTATTAAACAAAAAATATTTTTTACTTTATTTTTGGTCATGTGAACAAGTAGAACTTTTAAGTGGGATCCACCTGTAATTTCTCAAATTTATTTTGACTCAAGTAATGTCGCATCAACAAATCTTGTTATTTTATTATTTATTTAACGAAACTATCAACGATGTTTGTGAAGTCTTCACTTTTGGGGTTAATGTGGCCTTTTTACCATAGCTTGAGGGCAAAAATGGCCCTTTAAAATCTTTAGGGTCAAAAGTGGCTTTTTTGCAAAGTTCAAGGATTGCCAAGCCAAAAATCCATTTTTTATGTATAGAAGTCCAAGATATAATAGTGCCAATTTGTCTTAGCCATTAATTCCTCTTCATTGCATCCTTGTCCTAGAATATGTATGTGTTTCTCCCACTCCAAATATTCCAAAGTATTGCTGCTCAAATACTACTCCAGATCACCTTCCCTTTTCTGGATAATCCTTTTATATTCCAGCTCTGCAGTAGAATTCCAGTGTAGCTTGGAAGCAACCATTCATCCTGAAGAAGCCAATGAGTTTTTCCTATATTCTGTTCTGGCCACAACTGCAATGCACAAACAGATGATTGGCTGACTCATCTTTTAGTCCACATGTCACACTCTGATCAATGTCAATCTATAAACCTCTTCTGATAAGGCTGTCCCTAGTTAGGTATTTTCCTAAGGAAGCAGTCCACACGACAAATGAAGGGATATGAGGGAGCCACATTCTTACTAGGTAAGTCATTAGTGGTTGCATGGTCTAGTTTTCTGAAAAGAAAAAGACCTTAAGGAGAATAGCCCTTAACTGTCCCACTTCCAAATCCTGATATCAGAATTGTCACATTGGGTTTTACATTTTTACCCAACTCAGCAACTCTGTCCAGCTAGCAATTTCCATCCAATTAGACCTAAGTAAACCTGCAAGAGATCTCACCTCCATTACCTCTAAAAACATCTCCCACACCTGACAGGCTTTGATTGCCAATAGAACAACCATCTATTCTAAGGGTCATTGCTAAATAGGAATTTCTGATTATCTAACGAAAATGCAATAATAGCCCTAGTACATATTATATTATCGGTGGTCTAATGTCTGAAATCCTTCACTTTCCGAACCCAATGTGCAATGATCTTCTGATCACTGGCCTGCTGCTTGTTGGAAAAAGATTGCATACATTTCTTTTTTTTTTATAAGAATTGCATATATTTTGACTGCCATATGACAGACCTCATGCATCTCCAAGTATCTTACCCCCTTTTCATTGATATCAAGAACCAATTAGAATCAATTAGTCCAGCAATACCTGGTGGAGGATTCCACCCAACTCTAAATAAAGTAAAACAATATCCCCAAATTCCTAAAGAAACTATTCAAGAGATTGATAGGGGGTAGGTATTTTCACCATAGGTATTGAAAAGGCAACACACCTAGGGTGAAAAGGACCAATAGGCAACACACCTACCAGCTTCTAAATGTATATCGATCACTATAATACTATATCCTCAGTTTGCATAGATTTACTGACAATAATATTGACAATTATATGGATGTTTACACATGTTATTCAAAGAATTTGGCATCCAACAGGCACTAGTCGGCTCTTTTCAGAGATCAGTCCCCACAAATTATTGGCAAATATGATGTTTCTAACTGAACAGTTCATTTATAGTTAAAAAGTCCTTTGCAATTCGCCAATTCCACATCTTCAATAATATGTACTGCAAAGTTCTCTATTCTATGAACAACACATTTATTTCTACAACCAAGCACAAAAGCATATTTAAACTAGAAAAAAAAATCCAGTCCAACCATTTTCACAAGCAGGTAGTTAAACTATTCAAGGATGTCTCCATAGATGACTTGATTAGAGGTCGGAGTGTAATAGTAGGGTCTTCTGTTTCACTATCTACCATAGAAGCAGTTTGGTCTCCTCTGCAGTGTGCTGTGAAACTAAATTTTGATGGCAGCTCTGTTGGGAACCCTGGACGGCGGAACCCTCTAGAATTGGGGGTGTGTTTAGAGATTCAGGAGGAAGAATCCTGGCCATGTATTCTGGCCCAATAGAAGTGGGGAACTCGCTTAGAGCAGAAGTGATGGCCCTCCTTCAGGGGCTCAGATTGGCTAAGCAATTGAGCATTCAACAGTTAGAACTGGAGGGAGACTCAAAATTAGTAAGCTGGCTGTAAACAAATAGTTTGGGAACGTGGTCCCTTAGACAACCTGTAAGCAAATCATTGAGCCTCACAAGGGAGCTGGGTGCACATGTTAAATGAACTAGGAGGTCAGCAAATGCTTTGGCTGATAATCTAGCAAAGCAAGGTGTAAATTGGGAGTCTTTGTTTTGGGCTGTTTTGTAATTTGATTTATGATGAGGGGTCACCTTATGTCCCTGTTGGTGACAATTGTATTTATGTTTTTAAGCTAATGAAAGTTACTGTTTCCCATCAAAACAAAAAAAAAAAATGCAACTAGAATCAGTTTTAATAATAAAAAACCAACTTGATATGCTTTCTTCTTTCTTTTTCTCTTTTTTTCTCTTTTTTGTTTTGGAGCTCTGTTTTGTTGGAAGCCTCCTTCTTTTGATGCTCACAATGTACACTTGGGATTTTCTGCTTGATGCCTATTTAATGAAATGTACATTTGCTTAGCAAAAAGAAAAATGATATGTTTTCTTCTCTTTCCAATTCTTTGTTATATGAACTAAGAACTTTTATATGGATAGCCACTTCAAAACAGAGGAAGCTAACATCCAAGAAAATAGTGAAACAATCAAGAAAAATGTTGCTATGATGACATTTATGACAGTGACATATCAGGTTACCTAATGAAGACAAATTGACAACAGAAAGAGATAGAACTACTGCAGAGATCATCACCAGCAACTATTTGTTTCTGTATCAACTTCTCAATAAGAAGAGATGTGGGTGAGAGGTGGAAGGAGACTCTTGGATAATTGTGAAATATTTAGTGCATAATAAACAAGGATCATGGGCCATGTCAACATAGAAACATATTATAGGGAGTAAAGCAGTTAGCACAGGAACTGGGAGATCAATTTCAATGGACCCAAAGGGCAACACACAGCATGATAGAATCTCTAGCAAAACAAGGGGTGGGCATGACGCTAAAATGTATATTGGGCAAGATAGCTGCAGCTGTTATGGAGCTTTTAGGGTGACTGGCACCTCCTCTATTGTACATGTTTTATATTCTTTGCTCATCAATAAATAAAGCAAATGATTACCAATCCAAAAAAAATAAAAGAGATGTGCTCAGAGTAGAATAAAGGCACATACTCTGCCTTCAGGACTCATCTTCATTCGTTCTAGAACTCTTTCAAAAGTTGGCTTTCCGGTTGTTTCCCCCAAAGCAGCTATTAGATCTGCCCTTCTTGGGTCCAGTAATGCACCAAAAGCTGACCCAAGAGCGACAGCTGCCTGCTGCCACCCATTAAGCCTGATGTGTGGACCTTTTATCATTATTTTGATCCTTCAAAAATCAAAGTCTGATAAACCTGTAAAAGAAAAGAAGGCATAAGCACACAAACTTAAGACCAGGGTGAGGCATGTGTTTTATTTGTCATGTTACACTTGAAATAAAAACAAGAACCAACACAGAGGATAAAATAAATAATAATAATAATAAGTTGTTACATATTCAATTTATAGTAAAAAAATCATTTATATCTTACAAATAACCGTCTACCATTGCATTGATTAATCAATCACGCATCCCAAACTTTTGCAACAAACATCAACAACTTGACTCTATATAATGGGTCAATACTTTCAATATCTGTAGTTATGTACAGATTGATCTACAAACATCTTGGGTTTCTTTTTTACTTGTTGACCAAGAAGGAGAATTCATATATATATATAAATATATGTATATAGTTTTTTTTACCTATCCCCTGAAATTAGTCAAACCCCGAAACTCTTTGTATTTCACAGTTCAGCGGCCACCAATATGATACATATCTGCCAATACGTTGTGAAATTTTGATCTTTGGCTCAGAGTCTAATCCCAGCATTCTACAAGTTTTAGGAAGATGGAAATGCATACCTCTGTTAAACAGAATGGAATGGCGAAAGAGGATTTATGTAGCCAACCTCATATGGTTAGGATAAGGTTTAGATGATGATGAGCAATACATACCTCTGTGAAACTCAAATCTGGAGCTTAAAATAAAAACTTTAATGGCAATTTAGGTTATGTTTGGTACCATTGCTGTTTCTTCATGAAAAGTTAGGGGTTGATCAATAGAAATTGGAGTTAAAATATGAGTTGTCATGTCACGTAATCATAATCATTTTAGGTTGATCAATACAAATTGCTATTGTTACTTGAAACATCAAATTTGATGTTTCAACTCTAAACAACAATGATCAGTCCCCACATGCATTTTTTTCAGTTGAAGTGACTCCCTTATGTAACATGACAACTCATCTTTCTCATCAATTTCTATTGATCCAACATTTCATGAAGAAACTGCAATGGTCCCAAACACAACCTTAGTTTTTCTCTTAAGACGTCTAAATAATCGCCATGAGGGAGAAGAAAAGAACAAAAATCCATGGTTATGGATCTAAAAGGGATAGAAAGAACTAAATTAATGGAAACAAACAAAAAACATGAGTAAAGGAGACACCAAGGCTACTGGTGGGTCTTAGCCTTCTATAATATATCCAAATCACTTAAGACAGTACCTACCAGTGAAAATCAGAATGATCAAGACAAAGTATATGATTTTCCTGCTAAAGAGGTAGAATAGAGAGAACAGTTGGGGAATGGAAAAAAAAAAAAGGACATACAAAGTTATTTGTTTGTTTAAGATGACTTTAAAAAAGGTAAAAATGACCATCAAAATTAGGAATGGGAGTAAGAGGACATACAAGGTTATGTGCTTGTATAAGATGACTTTGCTGCATGTTTGGGACCAACAACTCAATGTAATTACGTACCTCTTGCTGATGAGTCTAGTAGTCTACCAAATATAATCCTTTAATCTAAACAGAAAGGGGATAGCCCTATACCAAACGTTCATCATTACAATGTAATTGACATCGAAATCCTTTATAATATCATTATGATTCAGAAAGCTACGTGATGTGGACGTGTATTGGGAGCAGCAGCAGCAATGATCCGGTGTTCTCATCCTATCCAATTCGGCAGCAACAGTCTTATCCATTCAGCAGATTAGATTAGACTATCTTGTTATTCTTA